TAAGTACTTTGTAATATCATTTTGATTATGTGGGATAGCCATGGTTCGGGAGACTAGTTATTGTTACTAGGTGATGATTGAAGGTGAAAAGAAAAGTTGGACTGGGGCTTGATTCGATCCAGCGATCACCAGGTTTCTGGCCTAATACTCTACAAATTAACCAGATTTTTATTTCACTTCAATCACCAAGGCTTTTGCCTGACTACCGCTTGATCGTATTCACATTGGTATTCGCCCAGGTTGCATGTATTTGGGCTGATTATTTAAAAGCTGTTGCGTTTCTCATTGTCACTGGCGAAATCTCTTAAAGCTATCTCGTTTAAGATTTAAGCAGTTAATTTTGTTATGAATTTATACTAAGTCATTGTTGCCACTTACTCAGCTGATATTTTGTTATTTATTCAGCCCTTAAACTCATAATCGACAGTTACTACTTCTGTAAACATTACAGGCAGTGTAATTTGACGAGGTCACTTATCAGATGGCTACATTTCTATACATCTTTTATCACTAAATTGGTCCACTTTAGACAGTCACGTTTCAATGTCGTATTCAATACTAAAGTGTACTATAAATCTAGGGGCAATATTGAAACGATTTCAATTCAACTGTTTTGTGAAATGAATTAAAGGCGATCGTGTTAACTTGTATTGCTCTTTCGTAGAAAGACACAAGCCCTTCTGTCTAGTTGTTGATATAAAGGCTTGGAATATCGCTTGTATACACCCATCATAGTAAATAAATTACACCATTGTACATCACTCACTAAAATGTACCCTTTTTTCCGCTTACATAAGCTGAAAACTGAATTGTTATATGTGTAACTTGTATGGTGAATTTACCCTGTTCATACTCAGTTAATTGTAAAATACACCAAGCTGACCGAATTCGATACTCCCTCATATCTGCCTAGTTTATTAACTCCCTGGACTCGAATAGAGACTGTCCAAAACTCATATAAATGAATAGTAGAAAAAAGAATCGCTAGCCAACTTAACTGAGTGCACCTTTTTAAAAATGAGGTGAAATAATAATTTCTTACTTATATATTCAAAAGGATATGATCAAGACAACGTAATTACAGTCTAGCTGTCGGATAACGAATGGTTACTTTAAGACATTGAAAATGCTTACCAGTGAAAGCACAACTGTATCTCTGTCCTTTACAGTATATGTGAGTTAGTTAAGTAAAATAACCAAGTCAAAAAATATATATTTGTGAGTAGGATCAATAATATTCCAAACGTTCTCATGTAATCTCTTTTGTGATTGTAAATCATAGTTCCTTGGAATTTACCGATACACGCAAAGCAACACCTGCCAGCACCAGGCAATGAGCCACACCCATTGTGAGGGTCACTGATACTTCTTGTCTGTTCTAGCCTCCATAGGTGGTGGAACAGGGTTCTAAGCCATAACCCTAGGGGGTGTAAGTTAAGTCCTTAGACCGATGAATCACAGCTTCAGAATATACCAGGCCATTAAAACTAACTTTCGGTTTTATATTTGGCTAACGCTCTTAGTCGATATTTTTGTGTCTGGAGATAAGCTTAACCAACAGAAGCTACAAATTTGTCTTCGGGTATTTCCAACAATGAATATAAGTACATTGGTGGCATAATCATGTCTGAAAATCATATCTATAAATAAAAATTCTTATCATGAAGTATAAGTTAACGTTATGCTTATAATCCGGACTTTGGTGTGAATGGAAAGTGTCTTTCGGTGATCAGTAATTTAGCCATAATTCTTTTTACTGCGAAAATCTCTGTTTTTAGTTTTTTTATGTGTATACCAGTGTAGAGACGGTTTCGTGCCACTTTCGATCCTCATTTTCTTCTTTTATTCACTTCACACTGATGTCGAATCTGTAATCACTCAATTGTAAAAGAACCAAATTTAGTAAATGGAGCGAAACTTAACTAATGCTCCCCACGCCTATATGTGTTTATGTACAATGTTCTGAGGCACAATTTTCGTGTGGCGACTTACTGCTTTACCTGGTTATCCAGTTTCAAGTAGGTAGAACGCGTTTTTAACCCGGAATCCATTGTATCGAATGTTGAAGTCAATGATTTATATCTCCCTTAAATGTAGCGCTAACAATATACTTGTGAGCAGTGTAAAGTTTAGACTTAAAAATATGGTAGATGGATCTTATAGTAAATTACTGTCCTTTAGGCAGATGTCATTGGAAAATTGTAATGTGTGATGCATCCATGATTTTCGATCATTCAAAATGGCGTCAGGTTCAACTTAACTCTAGGGTATTTGAAAAGTTGCTGGCCTGTATCTTGATGTGCTGATATGAATTGTGGCAACTTAGGCTGTCACTCAGTAATGCCAGGGTCTATGTTGATTGATTGATTCGAAAAATTACCAAAAAATCTTATGATTAGTAACTTCAAATTACCTAAATTATTTTCGTGTTATATCTAATGGATAAACAGACTGTCACGATGTGGAGTTGTGAAAACGAACGATAACAATTGACAACTGAGAGTCGAGCGTTGAGACGGTCCCACCCGAGTGATTTGCAGAGGTAAATAAAAAAACTGGTAATGAATTGAGTTTATAAATCTCGAGCTGAAAACGTTTATCAGTAAAAACAGACCCCATTCGTAAAATTCACAGTAACCTTGAAAGATAAGGAATGATTAGTATATATAGAGAGATAGGAACCAATCATAACGCTAGCGGGTAATATGAAATGTGACCCATATGCGGGAAAAAGAGCGCGACGAAAAACAGTTCAAAGTGTATAGATAGTAGGTATGGAATATAAGTGACATCAGCATCTATAACACTGACATCAACATAAAACCTAGTGTAGTTGTATATGGAACTAATTTGTCGTATTTTACTACAGAAAAGGCGAGGAGGAAGATAGAAGTTAAAATAATGTGAAATCAGTAGCAGTAAGAGCTCTTCGTGAACATAGGAGACAAAATAGTGATGGAATACGAAGTATATGATAACAGCATCCGTATAATTGTCGCGTAGACTGCAAATGAAAATTTGAAGTTGGGCACTCTTTTTTTGGGTTTTATGCATCCGAAACTCTACAGAATAAAGATCTATGTTTTCAATAAGAAGAGTGTACAAAACACATTTTGTCAGTTCTATGCAAAACTTCGTGATAATTGGATGGTTTTATGTGTTCACTCACCATTTATTTCTGTTAACTATGCATTTCTCATAATTTGAAATCTGTCTTCATGCCTAGATTTCACAGAAAACTATCTTATTACTTGGGGAAGACGATTTGTTTACCAATGGTTAAAGCTCGTCTGAATAACTGTTTTCCATAATCAGATAATGGTAATTAATCTCAGATTGCACAGAGATCAAACTTTATATCCCTGCGAAAGAAAGGCATATCATTGTTAGAATTTGTCAGTTGCATGCATCTACTCTGTCATATGTGCAACATTTATCTAAAAGAACTAATCACTTAAGTGTTTTGAAATCAAGTAAAAATCTCGATTCTACCTCAAATTAACAAAAGCTTCAAGTCCTAAGTATATAGCTGTTCAAAGTCTGACTTGAGTGGAAACTGCTATTTTGCATAAATAACTGTTGATATTGGGTGATAATTGAAGGTGAAATGGGAATTTGGACCGCGGCGGGATTCGTACCAAAGATCACCGGGTTTCCAACTCTGTGATCTACCAACTGAGCTACAAGTCCTGACTGTTGATCTGTTGAGTATGATCAGACGGTAGTCACATGGTAGTCGCGCAAAACCCTTGGTGATTGAAGTGAAATAAAAATCTGGTCAGTTAGTAGAGGATCGGGCCGAAAACTCAGTGATCTCTGGTTCGAATCCAACCGTGATCCAAAGTTTCATTTCATTTTCAATCATTACCCAGTGTTAATACTGGTCTGCCAAACCATGACTATTTCAGATGGTCAAAATGATAAATGAATATTAACTATCTTCAATCATACTGGAAATAATGATTTGTCAACTGTTTAAGATGACTAGTAGTTCCCATGTTTACTAAAAAGGTGATTTGACACAAGTGTAGTTGTGATAAATTGAATTACTAATTGACACTTTTAATAATCAAATGCCAGCACTTTTAACAAATCATAACTGACACGACTGACTGTAGTACTTAAACACCTAATATCAAGGCAACTGTTATAAAAAAAAAAGAAATTATTACCAAGTATAAGTTAATCAAATATGCACATCCTCACGTTCCATGAATTAATCAATATAGAGGAGAGAAAGAAATAAAGTTTATCCGTGTAATTGATTTTGCTTGTATAAAGATTTTATATTGTTGATTGTATAGTGGATGTTGACTACCACATAAAGTAACCATTTTGTCACATTCACATGCGCATTTGTTATATGGTTAATGGTGCACAGTTGTTTGCTAAGTTTTCACGGCTAAAGAAATTGGTTCACAGACTCAGTAAGTTTTGGTGACTACAAGTTCAGTCATAGAAATGAACAGAAATAAACAAGGTAGAATTGGATACGGTTGCGTATGTGACTATGTAGTTACACTTCATTTCCTATTAGGATTTTGAGATTATGGATAGTTTAGTTACCTAGCCCATGTTTATATACTACTAGGTAATTAGCTACGCGTAGTGTGAGTTGGCTCATAATATTGTAGTATGAACCTGAACCTATTATACTATCGTTAGTGGTTGAAACCGTAGACTACTAATGATGTGCAAATCTAAGTAATAAATTAACAACAATCTGTTAACAAAATGAATCTGAAGATTATTGTCCAGGCATCCGCACATATATATAACTTAGGTTATGACAAGCAATCACTACAAGAATATAACAGGTAGCGACAAGGTCATGAAAGTAAGATGAAGATGTGTCTGTAGTGCTCCAGCAAACGAATAACATGCAGCTATCGATTTCCACACATAAAAAAACAGAAAACCTACACACAAACATTTGTAAACATATCCGTGTCTATAGTAACATCATTTTGATCATTTTTGGCATTCAAATTGTCTTTCAGGATCTGGACAATATGGTGTAGTCTATGAAGCTGTTTGGAAACCTTATAACGTGTTGGTAGCTGTGAAAACACTCAAGGTATGTGTTTTATTATTCATGATAAGTTTTATTGAAATTTTGCGTCGCATAGTCCTCCATTATTGACTTCTTGAACACTATGTAGAAGCCTCAATATTGTTGTCGATACACCCAGAGACTGATGAGTGCCAACTAGCATGGAAACTAAGTCCAGGGCTACCTACCAGTTGACTCCTACTACCTAACATAAAAATAGACTAATGTGATGCTCTCATACTTCATCCTCTAACTGTTGCATATTCCGTTCAACGGAGTGAATGATTCTATTTGTAATTAACCTTCTGTATTCTTCTTCACTAGGTTAGGATTTCTAAAGCTGACTATGTTGTATCAGGTTATTTTGTAGAGGAGTAAAACGATAGTATCCTTATGCATTTATTGTACAAATAACGCTATCTCATATACGGATAGCTGTTTAGGTCAAAATGTTTGTATCCTGAAGTTCCAAGTTGTTCACTTTATCTGTTGGACAGTCGCACGTAGCTTGTTGATTCTTCAAAATTCAATAAAATTGACTTTGTTTAGAGGAATTTCTTCCAGCAAAATGTATTCCACTGTTGAAAAAACCAAGTTTTACGCGCACACACATACACACAATCAAGCAGGTGGATCAACATCGAACCTGGTGCAGAATTGCATCAACTCAAGTTATCACACAACTTGCCACAACAGCGTGCAAAGCAGAGTTGAAGTGAAAATGAATGATATTAAAGTAAACAAAAGTGTATGAGATGAGAAGTAACAACAAAATCCAAGTTGATGAAAATATTCAGTTTCAAATATCTCAAAGGAGTGTAAACACATCCTCAACTAGGTTATTAAGGTGACACAAAAATAAGTGAAGTATAAAATGAAGTCAACTAGATACGTTATGAGGCGGACCGCTAACTTGTGTTGCGACTCGTAGCTAAATTGTTTCCCGTAACTTCTATGAGAACATGGCCATCGTAATTTTTTCCTGTATTTTATCTTTTATAGCATTTCTCCTTTACCCTATCTTCTAATTTCTAGTGATAGGATAAATTTCATGTTGCTTAATTAACAGTCAGTTTTAATCAATTTTCTCACCTTTTTCATGAAAACAGTCACTCATTTAGGAGTAAACAAGTTAGGAGAGACTGACCTACAAAATTGTTTTGCAATTATGATTTCTGTCTACATGTACGCTTTTCTGATGTTATGCGTTATTGGCGTAATTTTATTTGTCCATAATATCTCCATTAAATGCAAAACTAACCTTTCTATAGTGAATTCGCTTGTTTATCGTTTCCTTGCGTTTTCCTACTGTATAGTGTTATTTCCGCACACCATGTATTTCTGATTCCTGACAACTTTTCAGGCTTGTTTATTTCCACATGAAATGTCTTCATGTCTACTTAATCTAGAAAGAGTAGATAATGTTTTTTTGAACATTATTATTATTATTATTATTATTATTATTATTATTATTATTATCACTACTTTTACTATCATTACTGCTGATATTAATAACAATAATGGTGGTAATAATATTATCATTGTTATTATTAGAACACAAACATGATACGGCAAGGGCACCACGAATTGCGCCACAAGAAAACAGTATAACATTATGAAGACAAATGATGAGAAGCAGATAAGAAAGAAAAAACAATGAGGATAACATAATTAGAAGTGCAGTCCAGTAAGATGCATCCAAAATAAAACATTCATTACTTTTCAGGAGCATAGGATAGAAGGAAGCTACACCATGACCACTAGTGGTTTTGATTCTAAGCCATATCTGATAACATCTAAAGCCAGTGAGTTGTGTGATCTCTCAGACCCGAACCAGAGAATTGTGATACACCAACAGATGCTAACCGGATACAACTATTCTTCATCCTACGGTGCCACGTTATACACTGACCACCCATCTGCTTCTTCCATCTAGTCCTAAGGTTTAGCAAACAATGAATGGTATGGAAGCCATTGGGACGACATGTGTAACACGTGTCGAAGCCAGTGAAGCAGGTGTTTCCAGATGACTCGACTTATTGAGTGATGATTTGCATCATGCTGAAACACAGTTTGTCGTACCTGAGAATTACTTCCATGATGTTGGTACTGGATAGGAGGAATCGTACAGAAGCAACGATGATGGAATACACAGAGTCGTCGCACATCTGCTCAGCTTGTTGAGGTGAAGTTTGACAGGTGTGTAGGAGAACCGCTCTCAGTGAAGCGTTGTAAATCCGACGTTTTACAGTTAGACTAACGTCGCGAAGGCGTCGAAGTTGGCCTAGATTGGAGTATCCCACTCTGTCTTTCTATATGCAGTTATAAATTTCATGAGTCACATCTGAACCAGCACTCACTCACAGAAGTTCCCAGATCAGATATACAAACTTTTCAACTGCTTGCAACAGTTGACTACTGAGAGTGAGCAGAGGAACAGGCTCCTGTCAATGTTGTGAAATGACTTTGCTTGTCGATGGTGTGGAGAACTTGCTATACTTTAGACACTAGTCACTAACTGATTAAGTGTGATTTGAGTAGTCTGTGTGTCATCACATAGTGAGTCGATATCGTGTGCATATATCGGATGTAGTGCACCTCCTAGAGAGCTGTCTCAAGAGTGTTATCGATGGCCAAGTTGAAGAGGAATGGAGAGATCGGGCAACTGTGTTGAACCTGACTGGTGGTTTTGAACAGCAGAGACAAATGGTTGTGTGCCCTAAGTCTACCTATGGTGTTATTGAATCGGGCTTTTATGATATTATGTGTAACAGATAATTCCACAGTCCAACTCTGTTCAACAAGTCGAAGACAACAGTCATGTCAAGTGTCGAGTAACACACCGATTGTTTGCCGCCTGCAATACGTATTGTGATTTTCAAGCATGTGGTGTAGAGTGAACATATGGTCAATGCATCCATGACGTGAAGGAAACCCGGTCTGTTCGTGGCGTGTTTTGCAAAGTGTGTGAAGTGTGAAGACAGTCAATATTTGGGACGCTGGTGTTAAGAGACTAGTATCCTGATGATTGTCACATGCGTTACGTAGACCCTTCTTAAAGAGAGGCACAACTATAGTTCTGATTGTAGAGTGATAGAACGCTCTCAGCCCGTCATTACCTTTCCAAACAAGCTACTCGCTTCGCTGACTATAGTCGTTCCTCGATCCTTAAAAAGAGCTGGGAATAAGTCGTGTGGTCCGGATGCTTTGTGACGTTTCATAGTATGGAGTTCCTTACGGCCCTCCGTTTAGTTAGTTGGTGAGTCAATGTTAACTAGGCGTGAAGCACAATACACTGAAACTGAATATGCTGGAGCTATGAGCCAGCGGAATTGTTTTTCGAAGTGCTCCATCCAGCGTTCCAGGAGTCTATGAAGATGAAACCCCCGCCCCCAAGAAGAACAACTAGAACATTGATCAGAATACTTTGAAGCACAGTTCAACTGGTCTTTAACAATACTATATTTGCCCAATATCTGGCCTAGAAGTGAATGTAACGTAGATATCGGTCCTCCAACTCTCCTTGAGGTCGAGAAAGTTGAATGAAACCTAAAATGATCTCAATCAGGCAGCAGAACGTGACAATTTGCCACTCGAAGTTTTCAAGAATTGAGGTAAAAAATTGGTGATTAAAGTGAGGAAAGTACTAGTTAGTGTATGGGAATGAGAGGTAGTTGCGTCAGATTGGTGTACTTGACTGATCATCCCAGTGTATGAGGAGGGGGAGAAATCTTGTGACAACCAGAGGGGGATAAGTTTGACCGATATTGATTGTGTCGAAGATCCTAGGGTCCATAGTTATCCGACGTCTAGGTGGAATTCGAGAACAGCAAATTTGAAAAAACCAGTCACGTTTGAGGTAGACGTGTACGAGGGTTGATGGATGAGATTTCGACCCTCTGACGGGTTCTGGAACACAGACATGCCTGCCGGCCAACGTTTGACAGGTGGGATATTTGTTGACATGGAGGCGGTATTTGACTCAGTCGACTGTGAAGTGTTGTGTCAGTGTGTGACTGCGAAGGTAGTATGTATATGATGAAGTATGTAATGCTAATCACAATTCTCCACTGGAACTCGAGTAGCCGTGTGAGAGTGGCTATGTGGGGTTGCGATGTGAATTGATGACAAGTAGTGGTGTTTGCTAGGGACACACCTTCACTGTTGCTACTTGACTTAGTCATAGACGTGCTGATGGAGATGAGCGTAGTTAAGTGTGACTTCAGAGAGGTGAACCTATTCCCTGTAGGTCATGTGACTGATTTGTAGTATGCAGGCAATATTGTCCTTCAGGGTGAAGACCTGGATGAAATATAGGGTCTTGTGAACGCGTTGAAGAGAAATCTGATAATGGTTGATTGGCATGGATTTCGCACCTGTTCAATGGAAGATGATGCTTCATGATATGAATAAGTACCACAAATTACGTTCGAAACGTTATCCAGTAAGTAATACTGTTTCACTGTGTGACATTTCTAATAAGTAGACTAGTGGAATTACAATGTATCACAGTTCCCAAGTTCTACTCTTATATAAATGTTTCAGAACTGATCTGTGACCACTCCCAGTTTAATGATAGGGAGTGAATTGGTGGATTATGTCGGCCACTTAAGTTGATCGCGAAGTTGCATCATCCCAAACGGGTTGGTTGCTAGCAAAATGTCAGCCCGTCTACAAAGTACCCGTTTGGGAATTGCCGACTTGGGTCACCTGTTGTGCTGGCGAGATGTCGGACTATCTATCATAGGATGAGTATACTTCACTGCTGTCCATTCTGTGTGGTTATACGACTGTTATACATGGCCGTTGGAAGTAGAAGACATGTGGCGATTACTGGGCTTGGATCTTCACAATACTGCTTGCATTTGGTGGAATCACTCTGTGATAAATGTTGTGATGAGACGTAGGGAAGATAGGCAAGTCGATTGATGAGGTTGTGAAACTTCATTGGCTGGGATGACTTTGACATAATGCAAGCCACCGCCCACCTTGACGTGGCATGTTAAGGAATTTGGACTAGGTTAGAAGAGGGTTCAAGGTGGCCAGATGAAAACTTGACACTACCTAATGAAATCTCTTACTGTTGGTCTGAGCAGTGTGGGAAGATGTAGACTGCCTTGTTGGGTTCCTCGAAACGAAAGGAATCAGTGATTGAGGACTGACTCTTAGTGACATGGCTGAAGATCGGTTGCTGTGGTGCAGATGTATACGCTCCTCGACGTCTTCTAAAGCTTAAATATTTGCACTAACCGTTATCTTGAGATTGTTTATTCTCTCACATTACTCTATCTCCTTCGATATCACTCTTTTTCTACCCACCTGTTCAGTATGTACTACTGTGAAGTGTGGCATCTTGAGGTGATTCAACTGTGTATGAGGTTCTACGTTGATTTTGTCAGTTAGTCAATTAGTTTTTACCAACTGATTTCAGTTTATGGCACCTTTTACTCAACCTTCACGGTGAACTAGTGTAAAAACTTCAAATTGCTTTTGTAAAGGATATTCAAACACGTTAACACTAATTCCTTCTCTGTTAATGATTTGTTGCTATTTGTATTATAGGAGAATGTGACTGTACGTGACGAGTTCTTGGAAGAAGCCCGCTTGATGAAAAGTTTGAGGCATCCAAATCTTGTGACATTGCTAGGTGAGCAAGCATCAGTTCCTTGTTATTTTGTTGTTTATAGGTTACAGTAGTAATTTTTTGAAGTAATTCGCTATTTTTTATTCTTACTAGTAAATCAACAAAGTCAATTATTATCCTAGCATAGCGAAATGCTTTTCGTTCACCCATTTTCCTCAGTGGTTTTATTTTACTTTGTATAACAGCTTGAGTAGTTTCGATTTGATATAAAACTGTATGGAGTTATTCGATTGATTGATTATACATGCATTTTGTCAAGTGTAATGCTTCTAACATTCATGCTGTATACCATTTGATCTATCTGGCGTTTATATTTGCAAGAAATTCCTTCGAATTCTGTACCTTGATGATGTCGTGTTCTCTGACCTAAATGGTTTAGGCGTGAAACTTTTATTGTCATTCCAGACAACAGCATCAGCACAAACTTCAGAAAGAAGTGAGCTATAGGGTTTTCACCACAAGTTGTTTAGTAACATATCCTAATGACGTTGTCTGTGATTGGTTGTTTCTTCCAAAGTCTTGTTATTGTCTCCTTATTGATTTCGACTGACTGTCCTGCTGATGTGAAATTTGACCTTGTTATTCCTTATTGGTTAGTAGATTGGGTCGATGTCAATATGTCTTTTGATCGCTAACTGACCTAAATGTCAAGCGTGTAAAAATTCTCTGGCCTTCCTCTATCTGTGATTTACACATTTTCCTAGTTAAATTCATATCCACAGTTGTCGGTATGCATTAGCATGAACTCACTTCTTTCTGAAGTTCGTGTTGATGATGTCTAGAATGGCAATGAAAGCTTTGTGGTTAAACGATCCAGCTCAGAGAACACAACATTATCTTCCTGAACTATAAATATTCTCCATCATCTCAGCACTTTCCTTTTAGTAGGTCATCTAGTCAGAAGTTGTAGAATTTCCAGGAAGCGCTTGATTAGTTTTATACGCATATAATCGGGTTTGATTAAAAGTTGCAGATTATTTGACATAATGAGTAACATTATTACGCTATCGGTCGTACAGTCATCGATCATGTTGTTAAGGTTATGTAGTTTGAGGTAAATTACACTCATTGTTAAACGAGACCATGTATTTGGTGTATCACAGTTTTGTGATGAGATTAGTTTGTTCTTGATTAAAATATGTTTTTTTGATACTATATAGATATTAAAACCACAACATATATAAAACTTGGTATAATCAATGGTTCAGCTTTTCATTGATTTGAACCTATCTTGCGTTATACAATGTTTTGATATGGCCACTATGGGACCGCTTCTATCCTTTTACCGGCTTCATGAAACCTAGAGACGGTCGAAGTAAACTGCCTATTAGGTGTGTCAAATGTATGCTCCAACCAATTAATGCTATGCAGCTAGCTACACAACTTAATACCACATTTATGATTTAATTGAACTTACATTTTGTTTTGCCCGGTTGCAATCGGTACATAGAATTGAACATATTTTTCCATGATTACTAAATAACAACCATTTTTCTTAGAAGTATTTTAGTTAGCCTCAACATTTAGTATTCAATCTATGTTTGACCCTACACTTTGAGTTTGATAGATTTTCTCATGATGTACTTAGTCAACTTTCTTTGCTATCTTTTAAATGAGTTCTTTGAGGTTAGTTGAGAGTGTAAGATAGACGAATTAAGGTAAAAATTAACACAAACGTGGGTCAGTTCCAGTTACTATACTTCACAGAAACATGTAAAGAAAAGGTGGATAGCCAGCAAATAGTATAAAAGTTGACAAAACAGTTTTAATGTGATTATATGTACCGCCACTACGAGTACAAGTGGAAAAGCGTTTGAAAGGTTAGAGAGTAAGTAGATGGAGTTTAATAAGAATGTTCAAGACAAAAGCTGCATACATCTGCATCATTGTGATCGATTTTAAGCCAAATCACTGACTACCTATAACATAGCTCAGTAGTCAAAGACTTCTTGAATTGCTGTTACCTCTTAATCTCACCACCCTTAGCCTTTTTGTCACCTAATCCTGCTTCGGTTAACGTTGAAATTTAAGGGAGTAGCTCAGCATGCACGTTATTTGTCTAAACCAATTTAGTTGATTCAAGTTCGCTGCCTCATAAGTAACTTTTCTTCCTTGCTAATCTTCATCTAACCTCAGCATTATACACACAAGAATTCCATCACACGCAAACTGCAGCATGAAGACAACATATAATCAGAGATCTGTAACCTTTTCATATCTCCTACAAAGTATGACTGGTAAATTAATTAATATTTTTTATATCTTCAAGGTGCATGTACTCGTGAACCGCCATACTATATCGTTACTGAATTTATGTGTAACGGCAATCTATTAGATTATTTACGAAAACAGCCTAGAACTGAATTGACACCTTCAGTTTTGCTACATATGGCAACACAAGTTGCTAGAGGGATGGCCTATCTGGAACAGCATAATTTTATACATCGGTAAGTCTTACTTTTGGATCTTATCCCCTGTTTTCCAAAACAGTCCTTTTAAAAATCTATATTTTATGTAAACTAAGTTTGCTAGTGGAATCATAAAAGTGAATATATGTTATATAGTGACTGATATTTGATACTATATATACAAACAGTATGCTTAGATTTTTTTTCTGATTGACTACATAGTTGTGAAGCAGGCAGAGTTTAAATCTTTATACTTTTTTGCACAACAAAATGTGAAATTGCATACTTGCTTGAATGACAACTGAATCTATAAGAACATTTCCTTGTAATGAAATAATTCAATTGTTTTATTAATACTGGGTGGATAACTGAAGGTGGAATGAAAATTTGAACTGCTACCGGACTCGAACCAGCGACCACCGGGTTTCCGACTCTATGCTCTATCAATTGAGCTACGAGACTCGAATGTTGACCAAATTTTTAATTCACTTCAATCACCAAGGGTTTTGTCTGACTACTATATGAATTCGTGACGCATCACTACATCTTCATTGTACTCACACTGACTGCCTGGTTGGGACTTCTCATCCCAATCCAAGTGTCACTGAGTTAGAGGGAGGAGGGAGGGATCATATTGATTATCATTTCGACTATCTGAGATAGCCATAATCGAAATCTGATCAGTAGTCGGGTCTCGTAGCTCAATTCATAGAGCACGGAGTTGGAAACCCGGTGGTGGCTAGTATCAAATCCGGCAGCGGCCCAAATTTTCATTCCACCTTTAATCACCACCCAGTATCAATACTAGTCTGCCAAACCACGTCAATGTCAAAATGATAATCAATTGTACGATGTAGATTCGTATTATGATTCATTTTATGAACAAAAATAGGAGTGTTTTCCAATGCCAAAAACAATCCAATTAAGGTTATTTATATAACGCCACTGATAGTTTCCATATATTCACATGTTGATGTACGTAACATTAATGGCTGATATTTTTATTTCTAATAACTTGTCTCATTAGAGAAGATAGCATAAATTCTCTATAGTTTAATAATTAGCTAATAAGTTTAGGGTTACATTGAACTGAATGAAGTTGAAAGGTGAATTAAACGATTTGTTAAGCTGACATCAGTTGGAGGAGCAAAGGAAACCTGGGAGCACTGGACAGCTATTTCGTCCTAGAATGGGACTCCCCAGCAGTGTGCACCCACGACCCCACCAGCAGGGATCGAACCCGCGACCTTCATGTTCCGCGGCCAGCGCGTTATCACTGAGCTACTGGGTCACAATCCAATGCTCCATATTTCCAACTTCTGTTAGCTCACGATATAGCGCAACCGCCACCCAATGTCATCGTTGAGTATCTGTCCTCACGACCATCAGGCTTTGACTCCACCGGTCACGATTTCTCATTGGAACTTCGGGAATACTTCTCGAAGCTAGTCACCAATGAGCACCAGTTCAATTAAATTTTGAGGGAGTTGTGGAGATTTGGAAATATTTCAAGTTGTTATTCATCGTAGACTGACATCAGTTGGAGGAACAAAGGAAACCTGGGAGCACTGGACAGTTGTTTCGTCCTAGTATGGGACTCCTCAGCAGTGAGCACCCACGACCCCACACCAGCAGGGATCGAACCCGCTACCATACTAGGACGAAACAGCTGTCCAGTGCTCCCAGGTTTCCTTTGTTCCTCCAACTGATGTCAGTCTATGATGAATAACAACTTGAAATATTTCCAAATCTCCACAACTCCCTCAAGATTTGTTAAGCATTATATTAGACACTGAAATGTCTGTTTTGCTTTTCATTGCACAACCTATAGTTATCGAAGTAGATATCTTAGATAGGTGATATCATATTGATGATCATGAAAGTGCAACTCAGAAACCGTATACAACAATTTGCATCTGACTGTGATCCACATGCAACATCTTTCAGCAAAGTATACTGTTTCACTATATGATATAGCTAATAAACTATCTAAAATGTTATGAGTCATACTTACTATTTGGTAGTCTAAACTTTAGTATTAGAATTTAAAATGTGGCGTGATTAAATTCTATAATATTTCTTATTTTTTCATCCTGTTGTTACATGAACTCAAAACTTGATGTCTAGATAGGCCAACTGATTATTATAAATGTTATTGCAGTGGTTGTAGAATTCGAGGCGAGTTTATGCGTTTTTATAACTGGAGTATTATTCTAGCAGTAGAGGTTGTGGTGCATCAGACTAGATGCTTGACTGTCAATCGATGTGTGGCGCTAGTTAGAGTCATATCTTGGTAACTTACACACTGTAGGGCATGGATAGTAACCTAGTACGCAAACGTTCTTGGTAATGGCTTGCCTTTATTATTATTGTTACTATTTATTATTTTGGTATTATCATCTGATTCTTACATATTCTAACAGAATTTCCATTGTATTCTCTAATTAGTGATTTGGCGGCACGTAATTGTCTTGTTGGCACACAGCATACTATCAAAGTGGCAGATTTTGGATTGGCTCGTTGTATAGAACGTGACTTGACGTATAGAGCACATGAAGGAGCTAAATTCCCAATTAAATGGACAGCACCAGAAGGCTTAGTTTATAATATATTTTCAACTAAATCAGATGTATGGGCATTCGGTGTACTACTATGGGAGATTGCAACTTATGGTAAAACACCGTATCCGGGTGTTGAATTACAGGATGTATATGTTTTATTGGAAAGAGGTACTCGAATGCTTTGTCCTGATGGTTGTCCTGAACCAGTATATCAACTCATGTTACAGTGTAAGTTATACCGTCTTCTTTGTATATGAAATGGCTTTGACCACTTGTTTAATCTTGTGTTTTCACAAACTTGATAGGGTTAGACATGTTTTTGTAGGTTATTCGTGTAAAACGTTCAAACCTCACTCCACTTACTTTTACATGAGAAACTGCATAGTATCATAAACCTTCACACAAAATAAGTGAGGCTCATAGCCCAGTATATAATTGTATACTAAGTTAAGTTGCATTATTTATTCCTTATCTGTATCATCAACACAACTGAGCAGTAAGTGATGGGTGTTTTCGCTACTTAGATTAGTGTTTTGCTTCATAATTGCGTTCTTTGTTTCTCATAAAACCATTTTATATCGCCTGCAAGACAGTTGGGCAACAACCACACACATGCTTATTGAGGCATTGGTTTTCAGTGAAATATTGCTCCCGTTTTCTTTTGATGTGGACCTCCATCTTTTTTCCTTCTTCCGTTAAGGTGGAGGCAAAGAAAATTAGGCCTCTAAGCCACTGTTAGTTTTTACAATAACACTCACATATACGTATCCATGTTATTGCTTAACTTCTCCTTTATAATATCACCTAGTCAGGTTTTCATCTTTTCTCTTTTTCCCGGTGTCATTTTATTGCGTGATTCACTACCTAGTATTGCTGAAATAAGCAAGGAAACATGGTAATATATTGATAAGCTTCCATGTACATTATACCCCGACTTTTGCATAGTTCGCGCAGTTCCTGGAAGACTTCGTAGTAGCCTGATTGTTGGTCATATAGACAGAGTTATATTAGTGTTCTTATTATTTTATACAGTTTTTTGATGTAAAAGTAACTTTACTTCAGTACCCTACGTAAATCATTTGTACGGGAAGCTAACTAATGTGTAGATTCCGATTTCAGCATAGTATTTGCATTTCCAGCTCAACAGTAACACACATTGGCATTTTCTGTCCTATGATCCATGTCTTTTGTGTAAGGAGTGGAACAGGTTTCAAACCTATGACTATCGCACTATATAATGTATTGTTAAGCATAAAGCAACTTTTCTGTTTCGCTTATTGATTTGATTTATGGTAATGATGGATAGTAGCTGGCAGTGGAATTTAGGACGAGTTTTTCGTCCTATTTTGGACTCTTCAGCTGGATGCATTTGCCTCCCAGTGAGTGATGTTGTTCCTACCAAAACTCGAATTCGGGACCAACCGCTTCAAACGCCAGAGCGTTATCCACTAGACCACTAGTTTAAATTGATTAGTTACTTTTCTCATATCAGCACATGTATATTCGAGATAATTTAATCAGTTAGTGTTCTACGCATTATGGCCATTAAAGTGAACAGGTGGATAAAAAATATTTTATGATCATCTTGAGAATAATAGTCTGTGTCAGCTTTGATAGACTAATGGCTAAAGTTCTGTTTCTTAACGCTTGATATCCACTTTAATTTCGCAAAAAATTTCATTTCTCAGTATAGTTGAATATATTACGAGGCATTCACTAGGCCAATGGGGCACGAGAGCCTCCAATTGTGCAACATTTTGGCGTTTAAGGGGACAACATCAGTCATTGGGATGCAGGTGCATCCAGCTGATAAGTCGTAAATAGGACGAGACGCGCGTCCTGTATTTCACTGCTAGTCACCATGGTCATTACAACACCATAAGTATCCGACAGTATCGAGGCGTCCTCATAGGACTCCGTCTACTAACAGAGGTCGAGCAATTCGACCCTGTATAAAAATAAACAATTTTACAAGTTACTTGTGCATTGCATACTCTCTGTATGCCTAAATTGCTCGCACCTTGGTCAATATTTGCTATCAACAAACTTTTCAAAACAACTATGATCTTTATAATACAAGAGTGTTCATGTGAACTAACCAAATACCTTGTCTAAGTGAGCAAAGCTATGGCTCAGTGGTTTAGGGAGATGACTACCAACCATTCGGTCACGGCTTCCAGCCCCGCTCCACCTACCTAGGTTTGGGCAGTCAGGTAGTATCACTAGCCCTCATACAATGGGTGTGGCTCATTACCTACTGCACGAATTTGCACAAGTTAGCTGGTAGTAATGAAACTTAACTCTTCAGGTTTATGTGACGGGCAACTAACCACTTTTATCGTGTGAGGGCGTATGGTAGGTACTATGTGATTTCTCAGGTTGAAGTCGTTGGAGTTGAACCTGTAACCCCATTGCTTAAGAGGTGAGTATCCAAATCATAGAGCTACATCTGCCAGATTTGTCAGTCTCAGTGATCAACATAACTTAATTGCTCTAGTGATAGTGATAAAAATGTTGAGAAGTTTTTTCATTCACCTCAGGTCACACTCATTATTCCTGAAGAGATATAGTTTACAAATCCTAATTGTTCATATGAGATAAATTTGACATCGGTAGCCAAGGATATGACACGATTGTGTTTCGATTTAAGTTACTAAATTTCACTTCAGCATAGTAATTTTAGTCAACACTCAAAGAAAGCTTAACTTAAAGTGATGAAATCAATAAAAGGTAAAGAGAGGATAAGAAGGATAAGAGGGCGGGGTCGAGGGACGGATAAAAGATGTTGAATAATAAGATTTAGAAAATATTTCCTATCACATAAACATATCGCCAGCTGTTACAGTCGTTTGACATTATAATCTGGGAATTTTTAGCTCACACCTCTTCAAAATCTGTGTGAAAGAGATATGCATCAGTACCCATTGTTTTGAATAGTTAAAATTATTAGGTAGAATTTAAATCATTTGTAAGAAACAACAATGCTCATTGTATTATTTGAGGAATAATTATAGGTTGTTTCACTAAGCTTGATGTTATTATATTGATTTTGTTGACTATCAGAGGAATCCAGGATGCGTGTTTTCGGTTCTATTCAGGACTCGTCAGCTTATCTAGGTCGGACAACTAAGTCCTGTATAGCAAGGGGAAATTACAAGTATCATAGCACCAACTTAGTGTTATTACTTCAAAATTTTCTAAAAAAACTTCACTCAAGTACCATTGACAATACATATGGGGTATACTACTGATAAAATCTGCTTCAGATTGACAAAGCGAACTTATTGTTTTCGTTGCACTTCACTATAACTGATAAAAGTTTACAGCTGTTACCGGTGATCAGGTCTAACTCATGGTATATTTGAGTTTCGTCCTGACTACTTCATCGCCTACTGCTCACCATCTGGATTTAGCTCCTCGTGTCCCTAAATAGACGGTCACTATTAGCGTATAACCTCGTTATAATACCTAACTGTCCTAGTTGCCAAACCTCATATCACTACACCAGGATGCAGATCAATAAGTCGAAAAAGAGGAAAATAAAGAGTTAACCAAAACTCAAAGTGACAGGACACTTCAAAAAACTCTTGGATCAACCACCACCTGCAATTTGTCCAGAAATACCACCAGCAACCGCTGAACTTTAGGTGAACACATGCCCTCCGACAAAAGCAGAAGTCCTGAATGCTATAAAACTGCTGAAATGCGGGAAAACAGCAGGACCAGATGGAATCCCACCAGAAGCACAGAAAACAGATGCAGGGACAGCAGCGGACATGCTCACACCACTACTGCTGAAGGTTTGGAGGGAAGGTACCTGGCTATTGGAAGAAGCGGTACCTCATCAAACTCCTGAAGAAGGGAGACATAAGTCTTTGCAAGAACTGGCGAGGAATCATGCTGCGGCCCACCCCAAGCAAACCATTATGCCGCATCATCCTGGAGAGACTAAAGGATGCGCTGAATTCAAAATTACGACCGAAAAACTAACAAGTTGACAGAAGAGGCAGCGAACACGGGACTTCCTACAGGTGAAGGTTGAGAAAACAGCAGCATCAACAACAAGCACCAATCACCTAAAGGAAGTAGTCTCTTTCACCTACCCATCTAGGCAGCATCGTTCCGGCTACCACAGGCGGCACAAACGAGGATGTCAAAACCAGGATCGGGAAAATAAGATAGGCTTTCATTGATTTGAAACCAGTGTGGAGATCTGGTGCACTGCTCTCAGCATGAAGCGTGAACGATATCCGGATTTTCAACACCAATGTCAAGTCAGTGCTGCTATATGGTCGAGATACTTGGTGCGTTACGAAAAGCGTTCACAGCAAACTACAGACATTCATAAACAGCTACCATTTACGCCCACTCGATACTGAAGATCAGATCAGATGGCCAGAAAGAATAAGCAACAAGGAACTCTGGGAACGAACCAACCAAGAACCCATCACCCAAAAAATATGCAGAAGAAAGTGGACATGGATTGTGCATGCACTGAGAAAACCATTCGGGGATATCACGCACCAGGCCAGTCGCTCGAGTGGAATCCAAGGGGAAACGACGAGTTGGGCGTCCGAGGTTAGGGTGACAAGGAGGGGATTATGTGAGGAAGAAATGAAAGCTTGTGGGCAGTCGTGGCGCTAGGTGAAGAAGACTGCAGAGAAGAGAGTGCAATGGAGGTGTGCTACTGAAGCCCTATGTTACACTAAGAACCCAAAGGAAAAAAAAAATAATAATAAAGGTGATCGAAAAGCCGTAATACGAAACGAATGAGCAATGAGCAAGGATATAGATTCTAAGCCACAGCATATGCAGTTTTCAAACCCTTAATTCCGTTATCACATGACATTCAACCTAGAGGTCTACACTTCCCTACATGACCCAAACTAATAGTCAGTGACTACACGAACTGATACCAATATTTAGTTTAACTTCTTCTGACCTTTCTTCAGCCTTAAACTTACTTTAGTTGGCGTGATACTATTGGATAGACAATGTTTAGGCATGCGTAACACTTTTCCCAGTCATTTGGATCGTTGATAAAAACCTATGCTTGGCACACGTTTCGCACCCGTCAAACTTAACTTGATGTCATAGAACTGGTCTGCAACTACTCCTGCTTTAGTTATTGGAAGTGGAGTGGTGGAATGAGTCAACTAGTCCACTTATTTGGGAGCATTAGCTCGAACAGACTTTGTTGACGAAATTTCAACTTGGAAACAGAAAACCCGCTTAGCATTTGCTAAATGGTATCACCTGTGGCGCCGGCTAGATATCTAACTGCACTATTTACGTGTAAGCTTATTACAATAAATGAAGCGACTAATTAAAATTATACACAAAATTACTCATTTCACCAATGGACGGAATAATGACCAATAACGTCGGTCACGCTGCATAAGGTTTAGATGACAACATGCTGGATACCGACAGTACTGCAGTTCATTCTGTCCTTTTATACGGCTGCGAGACGTAGCGGTTAAAAGTAGAAGATATGAAGAGTCTAGTGGTCTTTGACCGTAGGTGTATTCGTAGCATTGCTCGCGTGTCAGGCAAAGCCTACCAGGCAAGAGAGGTAAGTCAGTGTATAAGGCTGTAAACTTTCATCGAGTGAGGTGGCGTGGACGTGTGTTACGCATGCCAGGCAACCGCCTACCTTTATGTGCCGTCCTAAGGGGAGTTGGATTAAGTTGGGAGGGGGCTGAGTTTGACCACATTAAGACTTGGTACCGTTTGTTGGTCTTAGCAGTGTAGCGAGGTATGGTCTGTCTGACTGAAATTAGTGGTTGAGGACGTTTGGTGAATTGGCTGAAAATCAGTTACAGTTGCACAGATGTTTTGACTAACCTTAATTTTTAAACTCTCTCTCCTCCCGTATACCTTTGCCTACTTTGGTATTAATCTTTTTTTATTTACTCGTCCTTTGTACGCTGCTGTGAAATGTGGCATCTTGAGCAGATGCGCTTTTGTGCGAGGTTCTACATTGATTTTATCTGTCTGTGTCTGAACCGATGAAAGTTTACAAGCGCCTGGTTTCTACCTTACTAATGTGGTGGTCTGATGACACTGGCCGGTGCTACGTGGACAACGAGGGTTGGACACCTGATTTTTGTTTTTTCATTTTACCCATCTTTAATTGACATTTTTCGTAACCGTGTAGTAGAAAAGAGCGAACTGCAGAGTAGTACACTTAACCCTCATGAGGTAGTCAAATACCTTGTTTGCATCTTGGATGTCATAAATTGACAAGAGGCAGTCAAGCCTTTTGTATCTTTTCATTGATTCCGTTGATCACTGACCTATCTGAATTGATCAGACTATTCAGGTGAAGTTGTCAATCTGCTCAAACACTCCTTATTGTTAGACGAGGTATCATTGAGAACCAGTCTTGAGGCGGTGGTTTTTATTAGGAAGGAAGAGTGAGAAACGCATCCTAAACGTTCTCAAATTATCATTTATCGTCTTTAGAGGACCCAGCATCTACTTGGTATCTTCACCTGACAGGACTATGTTACCTGCATACCCTAGATCTCCTATAATAAGGTCAATCTCTGTAAAGTCGAACGAGGTAAATTTACATAAGTACATTTTTAGCAAAGTCAAATGAAAGTAGTGTGTTGATATTCTTGAGATGCCTCACTCTACGTAGGTAGCTCACCGTAGGCCCTAACATGACTACGCATGTTCGAGTATACAGCCTTTATTGATGTAGTATACCTATCGGATAACCTTTTTAGTGAGAAACTGACATAAGTCCTCTCGGTAAACCAAGTTGTATGTTACTTTTACGTCGACAAATATAGCTAATTTCGAAAACCGGTCGGTATATCTGTTCCAAAACCTCCTAGAAGATATCGGTTCAAAAATTGAGTGACAAAGTATTTTCTAATCTATTTAATACTCTTTTAAGTTAAAACTAAGTGGGTAATGCCAATTATTATATTGGTAACCAACAGTTCGGTAGTAGTGACAATATGCGCTATGTAGCTTTTTGTGTTAATTCCGGTTCATGACATCTGATTGTGACATGATAGCTCTCAATATTTATCCAGGTCAAAATTTTTCTGCTTGGGGTTAGCATTGTTAGCATAGGATTGCTCACATCGAGAATAAGTGAGATTGTTAATACGCATGTCAAGACTCCGTTTCAATTGGTTTATTAAATGTATCAAATAGAAAAACAGTATTGCTTTTACCGGAAGACCTTTCGAACACAATTTAGAATCCATATTCATATCATGGAGGAACATCCTAACGTCATCCGGTAAATAATACTATTTTACCAATAAACCAGCTAGAATGTGATTATAATCTACCAAAATGCTTAAGTTTTACTCTTCAACGTGCGTCAAAACTTACAACTATGGTTGGTGTTTATTTACTATACATCTGTCTATTTGGGAACTCATTCTTAAAAGATCTTAGCTTGGTTAGAGAATAGTAACCAGTTTTGTCTTGTTATTAAATATCAATCTTCATTAAATTTCGTACATTTCGGTTGGCCTACTAAAACTCCTGAAAACTATAGGATTAAAAATCATTACAGAAGATATTTCTATAAAAAAATGTTTTTAATTTACTTTCAGGTTGGCAATGGCATCCTGAACAACGTCCACCATTTTCTGATATCTTAAATCAATTGGAATCCATGCAGACTAATACTACGATTGATGAACAAGTAGCTTCTGAATTAGCCTCCTCATCAAACATCAATGAGGTGCATACAGTCAGTGCGAGTGAATTAAGTAAATTACTGAAACGTCCGCAAAATGTATTTCCTCGCCCACCTCTTCCTCCTAGGCCACCACCTCCGAGACGAAGTACTAGTTGTGATCATTTAATTGATGAAAGTACTGAAAGCAAATGTGATAAAATGAAAGGTAAGTTTCAGTAATTTTTCTAATCTGTTATGAATGTAAGCATTTTTATCATAACATCATGTAAAAGTCCAGTTTTTCTATGGGGAAACAGAATTTTTGGTCGGATACGAGAATTTGCGTACATATTTTGTTAGTCAGTCATTGAGTTAATGTAGTCACGTTGAATTACAAATCTTCCCTCCCATTTTGCTTAGCATTTATTGTATGTGGTACGTTTTACTCAAAAATTTAATTTAAATTGATCGCTCAAATGTGTATTATCAATTTTTCAGACCATACTGACCTTAGGTATATAACTTACGAAGGTCAGGTAGCATGTAAGAGATCTGGTTCATAGTAGTGTTCACTATGTAATCTAAGGACCTTATTTAGTCACATATACACTTCCGAGGTTTTCAAATCTGAAACGAATCAGCTATCCAGTTTTTCCCACTTTTCAAATAGTCTTGTAATTAATATCAATTCATGGATGCAAGGTATGCACAAACTAACCACTTCCCTATAAATCACTAAAGGGAACCGTAAAAGTTGTTTTTCAATTTGCCATATTGACTTCGCTTTCTCACTCTCATCTGGTCATGCTATTATTATTATTATTATAATCATCACTATTAACCGCATATTTTAATTTCATTTTGTACCTGTTTTTGTTTTATTCTTTTATACACCATTTACTTTCATTCCTTAATACTGTTTTTTGTTTAATGGTTGGTTAGTCCTCTATTTCTCAGACATAGTCAAGCGTTGTATATTTTCAAACCAGCAATGTAACTGATATTTTTATAAGACAGTTAAAGCTTTCAGCCTCTCATTTCTTCTTCCGTATTCAGCGTTTGTCTGGAGTGTTGAATGCTATTAGTACTTAACTGCTAAGTTACCAGCTTACTTACTAGTTCCTTATTGCTTACAGTACCATGGTAACATTAAAACCTAGAAACTGTTGGCTCTCTTGAGTAATCCTGATATTACATGTTTATATAAAACATTACGGAAGGTTTATGGTTAAAGATTTGTTTATCATGAATTTCTGTACTGGTATAATATCCAGTAGGTGTTTTAGCCCATAGTCATAAATTATTTTTCCCACTTCTAGTTATATTTAACCGATATGCATTTTCGTGACAATCTTTTCAAAAGTCCAGCGAAAAGAAAGCATTAAGTCTTTATGCTACTTTGCTTTCAAAAAAAAAAACCCTGTTTATCTGCGGTCTCTTTTTACCTTGAAAAAAAGTTAGTTTTTCAGTTAAATGTTTCTCATCTAGAGAAATAAAATAAAAATTCTAGTAATGTAAACTTTAATCGATTTTCGTCTTTTGTTTCTCTGTATACATGACAAATCGTCATCATTATTCACGACAACCTTAAGTATATTTGAAAAAAGCTTTATAAATATCCATTAAAATATGTCTAGAATTTTGTCAGACTATGTTGGTTATCATTTCTTTCGTCAGGATATATATATATCAGCTAAGCAACAAGAATCACGTTTTCAGACTATTGAATAAATATGTAACTACTTTACTATAGTCTTTCTGGTTGAATTGATATCGAGTAACACTTTGCGGTAACCAGTCAGTTTGACAATATTTTCACCTTCCATCTCTGGTTTCTACTTCTGTATCGCATCTCATGTATTTTTTAATGGTTGAGTAATTAATTAAAATTCAATGTTGGTGTATATACGTTTATGGGAGTTTATTGAAAGTTGATTGCATAACTAATCTTTGAGCACATTGTCTACTTTACGAACTCTGGTGTTCTTGTTAAGACTTGATGTTACTAATTTATAGGATATTTCAATGCATATTGTAAATTTGAATTGCGAATGGTAGCAGTGGTATTTTAGGCTATTATAAATAATTTGCATGTGAGCAAACATTTCTTCTCTTGAGGTATTCCTTGACTTACTTCGCATCGACCACACTAGGCTGGACTGGTAACAATGTATTCTTTGCCTCCCTCAACAATTATGTTTACATTCTAGCATTGGATAGTATGATTTTTCCAATCTTTTTCTTGTCTTTTTGCGTTATGAAGCATAATGCGTTGAACTGATGTAGTTCTGCCTAGGGTTTTAATAAGTAAATAATACAATTCATTTACCCGGTACAGGTTTGCCGGTCGAAGTAAACTTTAGTGCGCTGATCAATCGGAATCAAGAATATTAAGGGCAAAGTAGTTACTAAAGAAAATGGTACTTTATTTACAATTTATTAGTATAGTATGTTTCACCTGAGAAATAAAGACATAGAAACAGGTTTATCATCTTTTAAACCATACCATTATGTGCTTTGCCACTAATCCATATGAGATAACATCGTGCAAATTATATTTGGGAAATTTCCCTTCGTGATCCTGTCAAAAGTCTTAAGAAGTTTCTAAGACGACACTACATATTTTCAAAGATGCTTATGTGCACTCCAGTTGTCCAATCAACAGAGAGCTTCTTATGAACAATAGCTTGATGGGGGGTAACCTACTTCAGATAAAGGCATATGCATGACTTCAAAGCGTCTGTGTATATTGTGATACCCATTGCCACGTATTTTCTGATAACTGTTTGGATAGATTTTTATGATCTATCCCATGTTCATTGACAATGTTCTTTCTTTATGTTTCGGTCGTATATACCAAGAATTTGTGATTTGCCAAGACAAATTTATGTAGATTACCCAGTCGTGTTTAAGTCATCTTCCTAGGTCATATTCAAGTTTCCGAACAAGATATTCATCTGTTTTAACCACATTACCTTCTCCATGAATTCTCACATCCAATCTGCAACATAACCTTCGTCATAGTTCATCAAACGTTTATGCACCGTCAACACGGTAAATGGACGTAGCTAACAGCTTAAATTAATCATCTTCAACCTGATTGATTACCCTTGGTTGTGTTGCGTTCTCTGAGCGGGGTGGCTTGATCACAGTATAACTGCCTGAGGTAGGAATGTTCTCCACCATCTCATTATGATTGGTTTTCCTGGAGGTTTCTCGTCACTAAAATTTAATTCTACCGTTTGCTTACTAAAGTATCAGCCATATGTGATATTAGGGCTTATCACACTACCTGGTCGCCCAGGTAAAATTAGGCGGAGCGGATTTGAATGCAAGATCTCTTGCTTGAATGTTGGGTACTTTCCTAAGCAAAATCGATCATTATTGAATGAATTTTGCTAAAGTTTTGTCAACCACTGTCAACCCTAATCACTTATTGATCTGTAAATCTTTGCTAATAAGTCATGTTTATTTCAGTTTGGGGGGTTTTTGCGGATTGATTGATTGATTCCATGGTAGTATTCACCACGAACCGTCACATACTACGACGCAACAGCTGTCTTGGGCTTCCGCGTTTTCAACGGTTCTACAACTGATGTTAGTTCTTGATGGAATCGTATGTAATGTTTTGAATCCAAATTGTGCTGAAGCAAAAATGTCTTTAAAATAAATTTCTTTGAAGTTTTCACTTTTATCAGTTACCTAGTAAGTAATCCTCATTTATTACTGCCTTGGTCACTTCCAATGGCAAACACCGTCACTTGGAAATCGATGGGTCAGTTACTATAATTGTAATAATGAGTGTTTATTCAGGTATTTTAAGTTTAAGTAGAATTTGGATCAGATGATAGAGGATAATTGTTTCAATATAATGAAGTACGGAAGTTCTGATCACCTAACATTGACGTCATAGTTTAACAGTATTATTTTGTAAAAAAAATTCCAAAGTGTTTCCAACTTCGATTTCGGGAACTTCCGAGAAGAAGTACACTATTAGCGAATTCTTATTGGCTTTAAACAACTTTTTAGCGTTGCTTACTTTGTGGTGATGCTATTTTCAAATAAATTCAAGTGCTTAAATCACCATTTGTTGTATATAAGTAGTCGTTACTTTTTATCTCTGCTAACACTTAGCGTTTTTGCATTTCTCATTCTCACTTCTGTATATCATATTTTCCTTATTTATTCACTTCAGCTAACTGTATTTCAGAAGACTATAAATCTGATACACCAGTAAACGTGTCTACTAATAATCATAAATCTCATGGAAATATATTCACTAGAAATCTCAAAAACCCTCTATCAAAACAGTTACACATTGATGATTTAAGCACAGAGGAATTTTGTACTTCTGAAAAAGATATACCATTTACAACATCTGGATCACTTGGACGTAAAAGAACTGCTCCTAGGCCACCGAGACGTACTACACCAGTCAAACCGTTAAATTTTCCTCTAGATTGTAGTTTATTGGATGATAATGCCAATATAACTGGATCTGTCTTCTCTACAGCTTACTGGAATGATTATAAAAATGATTTTGATCATACACCCCTTCCACCACCGCCATCATCATGTAATTTACTTCATCTTGAAACTGTTCATCATTCAACACAACAATCACTTTCACATCAATTACACTCACGTGTAACACAACCTAATGGTTCTTTATCAGCTAATCCGAATTCAGTTGCATTCACAATGCCATCAATTATGAGCAGTTCTGGTAGGCTGTGTTATTATTTATTGTTATTTATTGATGGTTAGAAGTACACTTTTTATTTATTTTTTTTTGTATGTCATCATATCTAGTTATGATTGAAAAATAAATGGAAGCAGAGCTTGCCTGTTATGGTGTGCACTGTATAACAAACTTCTGTTTAGAGTAGATTACTTTTCATTAGTAGAAAGTGGTGAGTAAAGAAAAATCAATTTATATGTTGACCTCCCCCTATTTCACCTTCTTTTTTTAATGTATAGCAGTATCAGTGCTTTTTGACAATGCTTATAACTTTGTAAAAGCATTTGAAGATAACCATTTCAGCTCAGTTATATGCACATAAGAAGCATTGAAACTAACCATCTTTTCTTTCTTTTTTCCTATTCGTTTATCATGATATTTTTATGTGCAGTATCATGATTATCATTTTTGACTATCTGAGTTAACCGTGGTTTGGCAGACTAGTATTGTTGCTAGGTGATAATTGAAGGTGAAATGAGAATTTGGACCGCAGCCGGATATCATGATTTCCATCTTTGAGACTTCGATATTTTATATTAGCCTGCACTATCTTTAGTGAATGAACCACCTAACTGTTGGTGTTTTGAACACATTCGAGTCATATAACCTTCAAGATCTGACTTCTAAACGTGTCATTTTTCCTATTTAGTAGTTCCACGAACAGTTAGATATTTAGAATACCTGGAATATTTGTTAGACAATTTCTCTTGAATATGTTATGTACTGATTCGATAAACGAGGACTTCCCGATGGTTATATGTCACAAGTTTTTGACTTGATTATGATTATCAATGGGATCCAGGGCGCGGGTTCCTTTCTATTTGGTACTCGTCAGCTGAATATACTCGCGCACCTCAGTGAGTAGTGTTGTTCCTACTGACACTCGAACCTCGTACTTATCGCTTCAGATGCCAAAGCACTGCCGCTAGGCCATTGAGGCATGAAAGTACCAGTTATTATTATTTGTTGATATACCTGTAATTCTCCTTTGTTATACTGGATCGAATTGTTCGACCTCTGTTGGCATATGTGCTCCTACGCAGATGTCTCGATATTTCACGAACATTTATAATTACGAAACGCATATCCTGTATTTCACTGCTAGCCACAACCAAGTCAGTTGTAACAACAAATATTCAGGCAGTATTGAGGCATCCACATAAGTGCCCATATGCTAACAGAAGTCGATCAGTTTTGTTCATCATTATTACTTTGTTTCTTTTCGTAACGCGTTGCGTACAAATGCACTTACTACGATAACTAACCTATTTTCTAAATTTGTAATCTTTCTTTGGATTTGCCATTAGAAATTTAATGATGTTTCTGTGACTCAGTAAGTATTTTCATCATTCAACCTTTTCATATCATTCACTTGAATCAGGTCCTTCTTCTGATGTCATCATCAGAGTCCTAAAGCTGATAATATGTTTCTGAATGAAGGTCTGGGTTGTGAATGAATCATTTTGGTTGTAAACATTTACAATCCTACAAAAAGAAAGCTCGATGTCTTTTTTGTCCTTGCAAATACGTTGGAGGTTTTGAATCCGATTTATTTTCCAAATTACTTATTATCAGCTGTTAATAATTACTCGAGAAATAAAGCACAGCCAGTGTTATTATTATTATTGGAACACAAACATGGTAAAAAAAGGGCACCAAGAGATGCTCCACACGAAATAGTATAACCATTTTAAGACATAAACCATGCGAAGCAGATAAGCAATAAAGTGAAACAATAAGAATAAAATGATTAGAAAGACACTCCAATAAGCTACATTCAAAACAAAACGTTCATCACTTTTCAGGAGCATAGGATAGAAGGAAGCTTCACCATGACCACTAGTGGTTTTGATTTTAAGCAATATCTGATAACATCTGAAGCCAATGAGTTGTGTGATCTCTCAGACCCGAACCAGAGAATTGTGATACACCAACAGATGCTAACCGGATACAACTATTCTTCATGCTACGGTGCCACGTCATACACTGACCACCCATCCACTTCTTCCATCCAGTCCTAAGGTTAGCAAACAATGAATGGTATGGAAGCCATTGGGACGACATGTGTAACACGTGTCGAAGCCAGTGAAGCAGGTGTTTCCAGATGACTCAACTTATTGAGTGATGATTTGCATCATGCTGAAACACAGTTTTTCGTACCTGAGAATTACTTCCATGATGTTGGTACTGGATAGGAGGAATCGTACAGAAGCAACGATGATGGAATACACAGAGTCGTCGCACATCTGCTCAGCTTGTTGAGGTGAAGTTTGACAGGTGTGTAGGAGAACCGCTCTCAGTGAAGCGTTGTAAATCCGACGTTTTACAGTTAGACTAACGTCGTGAAGGCGTCAAAGTTGGCGTAGATTGAAGTATCCCACTCTGTCTTTCTATATATTCAGTTATAAATTTCATGAGTCACATCTGAACCAGCACTCACTCACAGAAGTTCCCAGATCAGATATACAAACTTTTCAACTGCTTGCAACAGTTGACTACCGAGAGTGAGCAGAGGAACAGGCTCCTGTCAATGTTGTGAAATGACTTTGCACATCGATGGTGCGAAGCACTTGCTATACTTTGGACACTAGTCACTAACTGAATAAGTGTGATTCGAGTAGTCTGTGTGTCATCACACAGTGAGTCGATATCGTGTGCATATATTGTAGGTGTAATAGCCGTTCTTCGGGTGTAGTGCACCTCCTAGAGAGCTGTCTCAAGAGTGTTATCGATGGCCAAGTTGAGGAGGAATGGAGAGATCGGGCAACTCTGTTGAACCTGACTGGTGGTTTTGAACAGCAGAGACAAATGGTTGTGTGCCCTAAGTCTACCTATGGTGTTATTGAATCGGGCTTTTATGATATTATGTGTAACAGATAATTCCACAGTCCAACTCTGTTCAACAAATCGAAGACAACTGTCATGTGAAGTGTCGAGTAACACACCGATTGTTTGCCGCCTGCAATACGTATTGTGATTTTCAGGCATGTGGTGTAGAGTGAACATATGATCAATGCATCCATGACGTGAAGGAAACCCGGTCTGTTCGTGGCGTGTTTTGCAAAGTGTGTGAAGTGTGAAGACAGTCAATATTTGGGACGCTGGTGTTAAGAGACTAGTATCCCGATGATTGTCACATGCGTTACGTAGACCCTTCTTAAAGAGAGGCACAACTATAGCTCTGATTGTAGAGTGATAGAACGCTCTCAGCCCGTCATTACCTTTCCAAACAAGCTACTCGCTTCGCTGACTGTAGTCGTTCCTCGATCCTTAAAAAGAGCTGGGAATAAGTCGTGTGGTCCGGATGTCTTGTGACGTTTCATAATATTGAGTTCCTTACGGCCCTCCGTTTAGTTAGTTGGTGAGTCAATGTTAACTAAGCGTGAAGCACAATGCACTGAAACTGAAGATGCTGGAGCTATGAGCCAGCTGAATTGTTTTTCGAAGTGCTCCACCCAGCGTCTATGAACATTGTTTACCGGGTTACCATCTCTGTCACGGACTGTCTCATTGGCACCAGGCTTCTTTCTACCAGTGGCTCAGTTGAGCTGGACTGACGTCTGACTATTGCCAGACACAGCTTCTGCTTTCATCTAGTTCGCGCGTTCTTATCATCAATGCTCACTCTCCTTGCATAATCGTTGTCTAGTCTTTCGTTTAAGAGACTTACGCGAACCGTTGCACTCACTATTCGCTAGAATGGTCAGACGTGCGTTAGGAAGTTGCAGGGAGGTCAGAGAGATTTAGTGTTTGTTAGTAGGGCATTTTTCCAAGCAGCAAACAACTTTGCTTGTTATTTTCATGATTTCTATGAAGTTCAACTGATACTCGTCTACAGTTTCTAGAGGATCGGTAGGTAGCCTTAAATCTAACTTGGATTAGTGTTTAGTTACAATGTTAGGTGCAACCAGTTTGTTCGCACCGACCTGTTTAGGGTAAAGATTTTGATGATCACCAAAGCGTAGGATGAGCTTAGTGTACACTAGAGCATGATCAGAGTCTAGATAAGGTTTCCATATAGAGTGGCAGTCCTGTATGCATCCATGCCATCGGTAGCCGATAGCAGTATGATATATTTTAGTCCAAGCTTGATTGATAGAGGTGAGAGGTGAATCAGCTGTGGCGGAAGTTGGTGGTGGCTAGAAATAGATTGTAGTCTGCTTACAGCTGCAGAAGACGATCCTTATTATCCGTCTTGCGACCAACTAATCGCCATTGGCCACCTATACAACTCACCTCTGAGTCTAGACTCTCGACCTGCTCATTGAAGTCCCCATCTAACACTGCGATATCTGTCGAGTGCAGTTGGTTGAGAAGGTCACTCAGTTGATTGTAGAATTCATCCTTGGTTGCATCTGGGGTACAATCCGTCGGAGCATAGATAGAGATGACGAAGAGACATCGTTTCTCTTAATGGTTCCTTCTTACCGCAGATGAGCCTTTTAACCTAACAGCACACATACGACCGTTGATGGAGATGTAGTCGAGTAGTGCGTTCAGTTTCGGCTCGAGCGCTTTGTGTGAGACCTATGCCAGCGAGGCCGGTTGCCGATGCCGCAGAGTCCCCGGATAACTGCAAAAGGAACACACTTTTCGAGCTGACAGATGAGGAACTAATTCGAAGCACTTCATTGGGATCTTGTGTGCGGGGATCTGAGATGCCAGCCTACATCAATAGCGAGGATTTCCAGAGTCCTAGCCAAACCAGCCTTTTGTCAGATCTGCATCAAAAAGCGAAGGTTGAAGGTGATGAGCTTAAACGGTATGCGTGGTTTCAGGATACCTGTGTCAGAAGTTTCACTGGAGGTCAGCTTTATTGAGGCAATTGTTTAGTGACTCAAAATGGTACAGACAGATCATAGGTTTTAGCAGTGGAGAGCAGTTGAGTGAAGTGAAGATGACAACAAAAGCGGAAATGAAAATGGTAAAGAAATACGGTTGATATCTAAAGCCAACAAAAACAATATGATGATAATAAATTGACTAATTAATTAAAGTGTTCGAAGTACGGAAGGCTTTCATATTTCCAGAAAAGTTGTGTGTGCGCTTCAAAATCTTCGTTTTATATCGTCAGTTCTTATCTTGTTTGAGGGCTGGGATGCTGCCCAGGCGCTTAGACCGAAGCAGGTGTTAGGGGATCACTTCCCGAGTCTAATTCATAAGGCAGTGGAACAACATCAGGAGCTGGATTCCCATGGCAGCCGGTGACCAAAATAGGTCCACATGACATTCGTTCCATCTTGAACCTGGAAACCATGTGAAGCATTGTTGCGGAATTAGTATCCACCGCTCCGGTGATAAGCACCGGACATTCACTTTTTCCCTTTCACTAACCATCGTTTTCTTCTTACGGGTGCCCTTAATGAACCATAATGGATGCCGAGTGTTTCTGCACTTACTACTGCCCTCCATCTTTGTAGAGTCTCTTGGTCAGTTTGCTTTCTCTCTGTAGTGTGATCAGAGTCAGCTAGAATCAGCCTTTTGTCGTCAATCATTTCTGATGAGATTGTGGAAATCCAGTGATGCTTGCTAACCTTGGGGTATCGGCCTAACACCCACGATTGGCCTCAATACAACTGTGAATAACATGTTTTCCCAGGAAGTTAGCATAGCTGAAATGTCGATAGACGTTCCTCTTTTGATGCTGAAAGTAACTAGAAAAACATATTTGGTATTTCAAAGTATTTTTTGCCGTTTTTTATTTGAGTCAATATGGAATAATACTTAACTGTCTTTCTGATGAGAATTATGGTGTGGACTACTCACTACTCTCAGTTGCTTCCGTCAACGTTGTATTTATGCATTCTTTCAACTTCTAGTATTCATTCATTGCGTATTACATTCTTACTTCGTATACAAATTCTGTTTTTAACTAATTACTATTCTGTTTTTATATCACCAGTTACCCAATATCTACTTCTGGCGTCCATGTTGTACTGTCGAAATAACCTAATTTTGTAATTTACATTTTCGTATGCTTATGACATTGTTTGTGGGTACGTTGACGATTAAATGTCTTTGGTTGACATCTGATAGATATCTGTTATTTTCTTTTCTAATTTAGCTAACAAGATGTCTTAAAGCATATCATCCTCACTTACACTTGAGTAGCTGAAACTAACAAGAAAAATAAGCACACGAAAATCCAAACAGTAAAGTAATTAGAAATACAGATATACATTTATGCAGAAATTGAATTGAAATACTCTTAATAATCATGTGCAGAGTAGGTGGTGAGTCAAGATTATTTTGTGAAGGCTAGCGATACTATCTTACCGCTTAAACCTAGGTAGATGGGATGGGGTTTGAACCCACGACCCATTAGTTGAAAGTTAACTATCTAAATCAGTGAGCCACTGTTCTGTAGCCCCATGTATGCTGGTATTCAACACTATTCGCTGACATATAAAGATTGATCGGAAACATTTTCATTACTCATCAGAATGTCCTATTTGTGTAAACATTTCTAAGCTATACAAACATGCAGTCACTTGATTAGTGTCATTAAGGGTTGTACAATAATTATTCTTATTCGTCATTAGAATTCACTTTTTATACTCAGATGTTAATTTTTGTTCCCTTATCTCATCTGAAGAATATCATAGACGAAGTTATTTGTGCATTCATTCCATTTCTGTTTAACAAGTTTTGTTTGAAGTGCATTAGTTGTTCAAAGTTTGGTCTGTCTAATAAGATGAAATACTGACATTTCATGAGAAATATTTCGTTAGTGTGTTCTAATGAAAAAGATAATTCTCGCTAAGATACAAACTTGACTTTTTCATCTACAAGCCAAACGGTGAGAAACTTTTTAGTTACCTGTTATTTACTTATTATAAATGATATTTCGCCGTGTTTTACGGCCTTCGTTCTATTACTTTCTTTTTTTAACTGTTATATCACAAAAGTTGTTAATTGATCCTTACATAGTTGCTAGATTTTATTTTATTCTTTGCAGTATAATAATGTGTTTATCAAGCCGTTATTTCAATTTATTTTACAGCTATTTTCCCATCTGGTCTGTTTTCATATGTGGATCCTATTCCATGTGATGATAATCTAACAAGATCAGTTTGTCCTGATCATCCGATATCAACAAATACTCCTCTCACATCCACTAAGCACTGCCATTCTTCAAAGTCATCATTGCCCACAAAATCAGTCAGTAACTCAGACTTTCCTCAAAAATCCTCCTCTGATATTCATTCAAAAAATCCATTGTCTTTAAATCATTCCCATATCAGACGCAATATAGATAATAATCTTCTAAAAGAGTGTAAGTCTATTGTTCATCAGCCAAGTGTTGCATCTGCAGATTTTCAAGAAGAATTACGAGATAGGTTAAAACAGCATTCTCAGCAGCTCAAAGACTGGTCCTCGTCGAAACCTATCGCATCTAAAGCCGTACCAGATAAGTTATTTGGTAATTCAAATTCACCGTTATGTAATCAAGAGAAAACGGATTCTAAATTATCAGTTCCTAATAACTCCCCATATTTCACTATTCCTCGACTGAAACCTCTCAGTTCCACAAATCCAGGTTCAGTATCTGTTGGAATATCATCGAACACCACATCTGGGGCAAGTAGTAATCAAACCTCAACATCTCATGGAAAGACAGAGCCTCCACGTTATCCTTCTGAACTGATTCGATCGCTTGCATCATCACAGAACAAGTTTGAAAAGTGTATTCCTTCTTCGACAGCGTCTGTTTCTTCTAATGCAACCAACACTTTGGTGAATAAATCAAGTAAAGATGCCAACAGTTCGCCGAAATTTCATCCGAAAAGGCATGAAAAAGAAAATCATGATAAATTGTCTAGCATAATACAGAAGCGATTAAGCTGGACTGGTCCAACCGATGATAATTCCTCAGGCAGTCAAAAACGATCTCAACGATTATGTCTACCTACTATATTTTCCACTTCATCAACAGCTCTAGATGAAGTCAGTTCATCTAGTAATCATTGTGTTCCACCAACTAGAAATCACTTAAAGAAGCATTTGTCACATATCGTAGAAGAACTGGAAGATTTAACCAGTCCAGGAAGTAATCTTTCCTCTGTGACTACAACCATTTCATCATCATCGTCATCATCCATGTCCAACTCAGAACATTTAATTGAATTAGCTGATCAAATGGAAGCTTGTCGATTAAGTTGTTCAGTATACATTGATCAAGCTACATGTTCAGCTAGAGCGAAATTCAGTTTTCGTGATCGGTTTGCATGCTTACAAACATTTAGCAGTTTACTACGTTCTAAAAAACTTGATTCTTCTTATAGTCAAAACAAAACTAATTTAGGCGTACTTAAAGATGCAAAAAACGCTATCAATGAGATTATAAATGATTTGAATAAACTAACTGAAGATGTAAACACTACTACACTACCATTAGACTCTTCAAAATCACTTGATCATTCAGGTCACAAACAACATTCAACCTTAACATCGAATCAATCCACTTTAAATTGTACAGAAAATCTTAATATTACTGATAATCGAAGTACTACTGTCTTTACTTGATCCTTTTTCCTAACTTATAACTAATATGACAATCACTGCCATTTAGCGCTTAATATTGTTTCTGTATTGTGCAAAATTTCTACTGCTCATAATGATCATAGGAAATCTACGTGTACATATAATTATTGCATTTTATTTTATTTATTTCCCTGTTGATGAAATTGTTGTTGACTTGGTTTTCTTTTCTTTCTTTTTTTTTATTATTGACGTTATTTCAAAATGAAATATTTTTTTTAAAATAAATTTATTTTCTGTTGAATTCTTTCAAAGTTGAGCTTCACTATATTTGGAGCATGTTTTTAATAGGTGTGTATATGTGTTTGTCTGTATGTTTGAATTCAGATGTTATGAATTGTTTTCTGTGAGTTTAGATAACCAATCTTCATTCATTCGCTTCTAAACAGCTATCTGTATATTTCATTCGGGCTATTCTCTTTCCTCTCCTCCATGTTTTATATATATGTATTCTTATATTCTCATTTATTACTAATAGTGTCTGTAAATAGCCTATTTCTACCCACCCCTCTCCCCCGGAGTCATGATCGGAAAAGTACTCAGCTTATTTTGAGTTTTAATCAATAATAATGATAATATTATTATTATTATTATTATTATTATTATTCATTACTGTTATTGTTCAATTCTCTAACTGATCATCTCGTATCAAGATATCTCTTGCAGCTAAGAAATGCTTTTCCTTACTTTTAGTGTAATATTGTCTTAGAGATAGGGATTTTCTCTGTTTATTTTTCTTTCTTCAATTGTTTTATCATCTGTACACACACAAACACGCACATATTTTGATTCCAGGTGAAATTATCAGTTAGTCAGTTAGTCGGTGATATAAATATTTTATTGAAGAAGGTGTACATTTTCAGATTCATTTTAAAACATCAACAACTGATTCCTGTAATTCAGCATGGTTTTTATCTCATTGGTGGAAGTGAGTATCACTTGCCTTCATTTTAGTCCATTTTTATCCTTTTATTTACCCATTCTGCTTATTCCCATCTTATCCACTTTGACCCCTGCTTCACGATACCTAACTGTGATCCATGTTAAAATAATTATAGTTCCTGTTAATTACTAGTAGTTTCTTGTTACCTTTCCTTTCTTCTTTTTTATTCTTTCTATTTAATAAAATTACTCCATTACCTATTTGTCTCTTTTCTCTGTAAACGTGTTCCTCTCTTGAAAGTTATTTAATCTTATTATTGAGATTATAATTCCTAATATCCAATAATAAACTTGTTAACAGTATGTATTTATTTTACTGAGTAGATATCAAATGACGTGCATAACATGTGTTCATGTGTGAGTTCACTAATATGCTTTAATTGACTAAAGTGTAACAAGTTTACTTATTTTGATAATAGTCGATACCTATTTATAGTTTATGGTAAGGAGTATTCTACGCAGTCTTCTAGGGTCTAAACCCACCCAGGAATAAAGAAGATTTTGGTAAATACATTGCTACACTCACTACCAATCGTTAGATGACACTGAATTTGTCTGCTATCATTGCGTAACTTATTACGTTTGATAAGAAAGTAGGCTTACAGATGTTCTGATTCGAGTTTGTCGAATACCTTTCTTCATGCTTAAATGGTTGTTCTCTTTAAAACAAATTTTGGTGGAGGTAATGCACAAAAAAGCAGTTTCATGGTAGTCGCTTGTAAATTTCTACCTGTAGTCGTGGAACAACAATCAGTATTCGGTCCCCTTCTGGAAAATATGGACGTCGCTTTATTTGGAGAACGTTAACTCTGCAATTTCGTCGTCATTTCTTTTACTGTACATAATTAATCTATTTCATGAAAAGCAGAAAGATTTATTCAATAGTTTGGAATCAAAGTTAAGGATAGGAAGTGATCTAAGTGGAAATCAATGTTATAAGTCACTGGCCTCTAATGTAAAAATTTTTGACTTCAGTTTTGGTCAAAAAAACCTTATTGGACAGTTTTGTCATACAATTGTTATTATTATTATTAGTCCCTTGGGTTCCTAGTGGAACATAAAGCTTCAGTAGCACGTCTCCAGTGACCTCTGTTCTCTGAGATCTTTTGAACCTGGTTCCACGACAGCCCACAACTTCTCATTTCCTCCTCGCACGATCTCCTCCATGTCACCCTCGGCACTGACGTCCAACTCGTCGCTTCCCATGGGGATTCCACTCGAGGGCCTGACGTGTGATGTTCCCAGTCGGCCTTCTCAGTATATGCCCAATCCATCTCCACTTCCTTCCAGTACATATTTGTTGCGTGATAGGTTCTTGGTTGGTGTCGCAGAGCTCCTTGTTGCTTATTCTCATTAATCTGGCCATCTGATCTTCAGTAGTGAGCGTAAGCAGTTGTTGATGAATGTCTGTAGTTTATTGGAAATCCCTTTCGTGACGCGCCAAGTCTCTGAACCATACAGAAGCACTGACTTGACGTTGGTGTTGAGAATCCGGATATTGTTCCACATGCTGAGTGGAGTGCAGAAGATCTCCACACTGGTTTCAGGTTAATGAAGTCCTGTTTTGTTTTTCCGATTCTGACCTTGACATCCTCGTCTGTGCCACCTGTAGTTGAAACAGTGCTTCCTAGATAAGTGAAGGAGGTTACTTCCTTTAAGTTTCTCCCGTTGATGGTGACTGGAGTTTGTTGTTGTTGTTGATGGTGGTGGTGCGGTATCTTCATCACTTCTGTCTTCTCTATATTCACTTGAAGTCCCGTCTTCGCTGCCTCTTCTATCAACTTGTTAGTTTTTGCCTGTAGATCTTCAAGTTTATGTGACATGAGGCTGGGTTCAAACATCGTGCGGACATTCCATGTCCCCATGTTTACTTTCGCTTTCATCGAGAGAAGACACATCGGCCAATTGGCTTCCCGAAGTCAGGCTTTCACCAACTGGCGTAATTTCGCCTCTCCGATCCCAGCGAGGAATAAGTTTGTTTTTATTTTTATATATCGTTTGTGCTGTGAAGTTTATTTAGCGGTTATATTTGTTTTCCGGGGTAGTGTTGCTAGCCGTATGCCCAACCTTTCCTCTTTACCTGGGCTTAAGACCGGCTAGTAACTAGTGGGCTAGTTAACCAGGCGAGGTTTTGTCATACAATTGACCAATCAAAATAAGTTATCTAATTTTTGACCTAGTGCTTTTATATTCCTGTGAAAATTGTATAGAAATACGATGCATTTTCGTCGAACAAAGTGTCTTCCTTACAGTTACAGTCCTGTCTTTGTCTTTTCTCTGCTCAGTGAAGCATAGTGTTCTGAGGAAGAAAAAAGTCACTACTCGTATCCAGTTCGTGTCCCACTGCGTTTGTATCGTTTGGGTATTCATCATCATTCATTCGATCACTTTAATAAGTGGTCAAATTTATGACAAAGACTGTTACTCAAGGAAGAAGAAAGCTAGTAAATTGATAGCAAGATTCTTGGAGTAGCAAAAAATTGCATCAGATGTCAAGATACAATGAATGCTAACTTTTGATCCTGTAAGTATTCCTTGTGACATGCATCGCCGTACTATTCTTTCATCTGTTTCACACAACATACAAATCGAACTATATACTTATTTCTAGTTAGTTGCATTTTATTTTCATTTTATTATTGTTACCAATTATGCCAAGTGAATCGCTTAGGTTTACTGAAAAGTTACCAGATAGTCGAAGTTCTTTAAACAGATAGATGAGTCACCTTTGTAAAGAGTGTAGTCATCTTTACTGGCGATATCCAAGTTATCTGTGCATATCTTGGGCACAATTTGCATAGTAGAAGTAAGAAAACACAGAAATTAACATTCTTTTTGGTAGGTGTGGAAATTATTGTACTAATTGATAATTGACATTTCATATATGATGGTATGTTTGTCAAAAGATTTGAACATCATACATAAGTAGCAATTTAGAAACTATAAGAATGCAGTACGACATGAAGTGAACTTTGTTTGTTATTCTATTTATCGACGATAGATGTACAACACTGGTGGTAAATGTAATATTTTATTTTCATATTGAGGGTCGCACGAGATTAGGAGTATTTGTTGAACTGACAAGAATAGTTCAGTTAGTGGTTTGTAGGGATTGATTGATTTTAAGGTAGCAGTTTTCAGGGACTGACATTTGGAGAACCACTGACCGATAGCTGCTACCTTGACGTGGTGGTCGAGCTTGTATATCACAATGACCTAACGAGCTACGCTGGCTGGAACGCTTGTCCCATCGAGTGTGTGTCATAGCAGAAAGGAAGGTTGGATAGTGGTTTGACGAAGAGCAGTTACGTTTATAGCATAAATTGATGATGGTGATGAGGGTCCAATGGCGTAGTTGTTCTGCTAGCTAAACGGGATCGTGAAATCAGTTAATTGTTTTCCTTGGATAACCAGCAGTAGCATGCTTATGCTGGGTTCTCGGTAGGAAGGGGGAGGCGTAGAAAAGGGCTTAGAAAATAGCACACTCCTTGTTTTGTGGTCTTCCGCTGCTAGTGGTATGATTTTTCTATCTGTTTTTAGAACATTCAAATCGCATACTGATAACTTGGGAGCTCTAAATGGCTGTATTGTTCTGGTCTGGAACTCCTCAGTAGTACATTTAGTTTCCTTGCTTAATGTGAACAATACATTAAAAAGAAAATTCGCAGAATAAAAAGAGCTTATTTTATTTCATGCTAGCCCATCAGCTGCAAACAGCCTACAACTGAGACGAAGTATTAGCAGTAATAATAAAATAACCTACTTTAAGTATGTAGAAATAAATGAAGACTTGAAATCCACACTTAACACTAAGGTAGATTTAGCAACAGTTTTCATTAACTGAAGTAGACCCATCAGACGGTATTTATGAAAACTGTGTATAATTCATCAAACTTGGATGACGAGCGAACGAAAACACTTATGAGAGAGGTCTGGGATAGGTTAAGCCATGAAAGCCCCGTAGCAGGTACAGTTTGTCAACATTACATACGAATTCCCAATGGTACTACTCTGTCGATATAAGTTTCTGGTAGCTTGTTATT